CAGTGAAATACCACTTTAAATAGTGTTTCCCAAAGTGGGTTACACTGTCCTCTGGGGAGTACTGGAAGATCTATGGTGGGCGGCAGTAGTAACAGATGTAGTTAGGGGTATGTTTTATTTGCTCTAAGAAGGTAGCTTTTGGGGGAGGGGATGATCAGTGGGTGCTGAGTACGGCCTTTGCCTGAAAAGAATGTGGTAGGAATTTCTTCAACTAGAAAATGTGCGCTTCTTCTTTGGAATTTTTGTGTCCAATATATTTCTGACAAAAGTTCCCTGATGGGAAATAAAGATAAAAGTGAAAGAACGTTATGTTCTTTGTGAAACTTAAGTAACTTGAAATTTCATGTTACTCAGTGAAATTTAAGTTTTATTACGAATGAAATTTAAGAATAAATCGTAAATTTCTGGATGCTGAAGACAGTACAGCGGGCACCTTGCACGTGATCAACAGGTAAACCTACCAAGAGTGATTCCTCAGTTGTGAGTCAAGAGTAAAATGAGCACAGATAGGTGTGAGCAAGGCAAAGAGCTGGGCAGATGCGTCTCAACTGAGGATGATGATGGTTCCAAGATGGGTCCAGGGTGGGGATGAAGCTGTCACCCCGGAGAAGAGTAAGACCAGTGGCAGGAGAAAAGAGGTAAGGAAGACAGATTTGGAGAGTGGCTGATGAGATCATAGGATAAGTAGGGATCTAGATCATACAAGCCTGTTTAAGAAATCTGTGTTATATTCAGAATTTGATGAATATCTACCAGAGTTTGTACTACAATGTGAGTGATAGAATCTTATAAAAATTGTAGATGATCACCCAAGGTGCACTTAAAGAACCAACTGAAATTGAGGCAAGACTGGAGAGCCCACAACTAGCACACAGAATAAAGAAAATAATGATAGCTTTTGTCCAGGCAACCTTTGGCAAAGATCACAAATCCAAACTCAAACTTAACAAATTGTTCTCAAGTGACCAGTTTTTTACCTTTCTAGTTTTATTTACCAAAAACATGTCCTGCTTTTTGCTTTATATATCTTAACTTCTGCGCATTTTGCTGCATTTAGAAAGACTGCCATTTTCTTCTGTATGCTCCAATAGATCTTACCTTCAAGTTTCAGAACCTTCTTTATGAAACATTTCCTGACACTACCAGAAAGAGCAGATGCTATCAGAGTCTCATACAACACTTAACTTGCATGTTCCAAGTAAAATGTACTACTCAAAATCTATTGAGTGTTATACATTTATTTTAATTTTATTGACTTAAGAAAATTAACAATATGCAAACTTATTCAGCTAGGCTTCCTAAACTCATGCCACTATGAATATCACTTAAAGAAGACAATGCAAAAGGTAAGAAGTTTGTCATGCGTACTATGGACCCAAATTTAATTTCAGGTACTGCATATGGCATTACAAGAACCACAGGGCTCACTCTTGAGCACAGAGGCAGGAGTAGCCTATGAGCACTGCTGGGGATAGCCTGACCACTACCTATACCCAACCCCCCCCAAAAAGAATCTCCAAACCAAAACAAAGATCAATCTTTTCAGTTATCCAGTGTTTAATAATTTATACTTAAAATTACGAAAGGTTAAAACAGATTCAAAGCATGTCTAAAAATTTGTAAAGAAAAATTATAAGACTCACACCAAAAACCAAAGTGAAATGCTAAAATCACTGCCTGTGTGTAATAATATGGTTTACTATATGTGCAATAAAATAGTATCTTGAAGTTTAAACATAATTATTTCATATTAAAGCATTCATTGAGTGGCTGGAGTGATAGTACCACAGGTAGGGCATTTGCCTTGTAACATGGCCAAGCCAGGTTTGATTCCCAGCATCCCATATGGTCCCCCGAGCACCACCAGGAGTAATTCCTGACTGCAGAGACAGGAGTAACCCCTGAGCATTGCCAGGTGTGACCCAAAAAGTAAATAAATAAATAAATAAATAAATAAATAAATAAAGCATTCATTGAGTTTAGCCATTTTGTAAAAATATCTGTTAAACTATGCTCCAAGATTTGATATATCTAAGATTTTTCAGACCGAGTGTTATTTAGAAATTCTAGTAGTTAACATTGGGGGGGGGAGGGTAAGAGCCCTCTCAAGTCGGGCCCAAGTGACCTAGGGTTTATTCCCAGAAATACTAGACCAACTAGGCCAGATAACTCAATGTAGGACCCAGCAATGTGGCATATGATTAGGTCCTGTGGTGCTGAGGACCACGAGGGCCATCCTGGTGGTGCTAGAGGAGGGCACCATATGGTGCCAGGATCTCTGCATATACTTGGGTCTCTGCATATACCCTAGAAAAGTAAACTATCTACTTGTCCTCTCAACTTCTTTTATGTTAAGTTAATCTATATTACTCATAATAATACTCATAGTAATACAATCCATGCAATTTATCCGATCTTTCATTTCATAGTAGCAAATTTTAAATAAATACTGAAAGCAAAAACTGTTGACAAGTTGAATCTCTATCTCTCTCTTTTTGTTTTTTTGTGTCACACCTGGTGATGCTCAGGGGTTACTTCTGGCTCAGTACCTGGTAATTACACCTGGAATTTCTTGGGGGATCATGTGGAATGCCAGGAATCAAACACAGTTGAAGCCTGTGCAAGACAAATGCTCTAGCTGCTATACTGTCACTCCATTTCCCTTGAATCTCTCATAAAGACAGGGCACAGAACCAAACATTAAGTAAATACCAATTCAACAATGGGTAAGTTCTTTCTTTCTAATGATAGAAAAACTTGAATGCTACTCTGAAATACTGTCAAAAATCTTACTTCAAAAATCTCCAACTACAGTATAGATATACTAATTCAGGGAAAAGGTGTTAAAAATAAAAACATATACATATCTGAGTTAAAATTATTTTTCATAATAATTTTATTCTACAAATAAAGCTATATATTATGTATACACAACATGTGACTATTTGCAAATTGAACAAAATCTCAATGAGCCATGATTTCCTGACTTAATCATATAATCTCTGTCCTCTATAGAAAGACAGATTTACTTCCAATATATACATTTGACAAAGAACCTATTAATAAATGCCATCATGAAACTAGTACACTTAAATATGAGATTTGCTACTATGTGGATGGACATGGAGAATATCATACCTAGTGAAATTAGTCAGAGAGAGAGAGAGACAGACAGAATGATTTTTTTATGACGAATATAAGAAAACATAGTTGGGGAATAACAAATGCCCAAAGGCAATAGAGATGAAGAACATGAGAACAGATCTTTAGTAGAAAGCACATCACTGTGTGTGTGTGTGTGTGTGTGTGTGTGTGTGTGTAGTGGGGGTTGGGGGGTGTGGCGGGGAGTGGTGGATAGGGATGGGGAAGCTTCGTAGAACACTATGACAATGGTGAGGCAAGTGGTCACCTGGGAGTGGTGGTGGAGGGGGTGATGCTGGAAGGTTGTGAAGTGGTATGCATGAAACCCCATCAGTAACACTACTGTAGACCACTGTGCTAAATATTTATTTTAAAAGTGCCTGTCAGAGAGGCAGGCTGGTGGACGGGAGAGAAAGTGGGGACATTTGGATTCAATCATGATTTTTAAGTTTGTAATCCATGGTGATTAAGTTAAAAAAAAATCAGAATGGCTATAATAAATAGAGTGGCTATAAAATAATACATATATAAACATCTACATATAATACTGACATATAAAACATATACAATAAAACTCACAATCATATAATATAGCTCATATTGTTCTGTTTCAGGACTAAGCCTGGTGATACTTGGGGGCTATTCTTGGCTTGCAGCTTAGGGCTCCCTCCTGGCACTGTTTGGGAAACTATGTGGTGTTAGAAATTTAACCTGAGCTTCCATCATGAAGATCATGCTAACCAGCCCTTTATGAGTTCCTTCCTCAAAATGGCACTTTTGTTTAGCCTTACAATGTTTAACATAACTAGGTCATATTAAACATGTTTAACATATATAGGTCAATGGAAAGAAAGCGATATTTGGCAATGGTGATTTAGGGTTTGAAGAACAGGAGTGCAGAAACCAGTTCATTAGGGGAACTTTTAATTTGAACAAATTAAAAGTTTTTATTTTTAACAATATTTTAACAATTTATAATAGTTATCAACCATCTTTTAAAGAGTGATAGCTCAGTTTCTCTTAAACATATATACCCCAATTTACAGGTGATTATATTATTCTTAGCTATACACAAGTACCCAATTTCTATATACAAGTATAGCTAAGAATAAGATATAATATACCTCATATATAATATCTATATATGTTTATACAACATATACAATGTACAACATATCTATGTATAATATTTTCCTTTGAAGAATACCTTCATATTTTAAAAGAAATAATACTATTCAAAAAAACATAAAGAATCTTTTTGAATGCTTGAGGACTTACCTGAGGTTAGATAAAACAAAAATCCAAAACATAATAATTATAAACTATGATAATTACACTTTTATCATATTACACTTTTCTTGTGCCTGCCCTAGAAATGTTCTCTCTTGAGAACTATATAATACCTTTTATAAAAAATTCTGGCCAGAGGAAGAGAAAATTGACTAGCTAATCTGGGGTCTTCTATTAAGAATTCTCATACTCATGGGTCTAAATTGATGGTACTCCTTTGTCTTAATCTGCTTAGGTTCAATGTTTATTTCTTTATATTCAAATAAATATTAATATATCCACTAAAATCATAGAGTACAATCAACACAGGAGATTCAAAAATTAAAGCAAAAATTCAAACTAATTAATGCCACAAAATATTAATTTGCTTTCTCATTGCCTCTCATAATATTTCTTTTGAATATTTAAGTGAATGTCTGCTTTTCTCTATTTCCCTCCAATTCCTAAGAAAATAGCCTGTCATTGAAATTTATGCCTCTAAGGTACTAACTTTGCTGATTCCTAACATCTGTGCACATGGTAAATATCAACTCATCCATTGCCGTCTAATTGAAAAGAATCACTCTTACCGTGTAGCCCTCGGTATATTGGAAAGGAGCCCTGGAACTTTCATCTGCTGTTGGACTCAGAGGCTTGGGGTCTGACATGGACCGCTGCATCATCTTGGCTGTCTTAGGACTTGCTGGGGGAACTTTAGCCATATCTGGATGCAACACTTTCTGTGGACTTATGTCATCAGGGAGGGGTTTTTCATAAGGTACAAAGGCTGATTCTAAGGCTTTGCCTGGTGAAAGTGGTGAGATGGGTGAGTAAAGGACTTTTGGAGATTTGGGTGGGGAAGGAGCCAGCTGTAGTGTGGAATCTGCCCGGAGGTGAGATGAGTACCCAATTTCTAAAGGTGTTGGGCGTTTCTTGTCTTTGGGTGGAGATGTGGCACTCAGGTATTGAGGACTTTGTGTGTCTGAATCTGCTTCTGTTTGACATCCTAAACTGCCCCCTTTGTAGGTCTTTTCAGGTGCTGAAATGTGTTTAATTATTTCTACCTTGGCATCCACGTGCGCTCGTATCGAAGGTGTTCTTATGGTTCCGACAGGTTCGGTTTGTACAGATATCTCTGCTACTGTTTGAACTGCTATACTGGAGACTCTGGAAAGAGGCTTGGTCTTGTCAGCCTCCGAAGTGCCGTCACCATACTTTCCTGCCCGCGCTTTTCTCCTTGCTCGAGTAGGCATGTCCCACTCATCTTGATCTTCATCATCAGTTTGGACACTGGTATCGACACTTTTTTTGCTTTTTCTTCTCCTACTTGCATAGTTGCGATCACCTGCATCTTCATCATCAGTCTGCACACCACTGTCCACAATTTTTTTAAAAGAGCGGGGATCGTCAGCTGTGCTTTCCCCCATCTCTTCATACTGTCCTCGGACTTTAGCCCCAGAACTTCTCTTTTTGGCTTGTTTTTCATCTTTCACCACAACATCTGTTAGAGGTATTTCTGAAACAGTACTCAGAATGCCAGGCGGGGCAATGTACTGAGTAATGCCATCAGACTGAACCGTGTACCACCCTTGGCTTTGTGGTATTTCAATTGCCACAACAGCAGAAGCTGTGGTGGTTGCATCTTCTGTTGCCCAAAACTGACCACCTTCTGGAGCAGTATACTGACCTTCCATAATTGCCTGTTCTGTTGTGGTTTGTGGAGAAGCATTCCCAGAAGGGTCATAGTTATACTGGTAGATCTGGCGAATCTTTTGTTCCTCAAGCTGCTGGTGTAGCTGCTGCTGCAGCTGTTGGATCTGTTCCAGCTGCAACTGCTGCTGAGCTAATGTTTCCTGTCTCATCATGAACTGGGCTTGCCTTTCTTCTTCTTGCTGATAGAGAAGGTGCTGCTTCATAGACTGCAGCTCCTCCAGTTTTTTTTGAACCATAATCTTTTCTTGTTCTCGGAACCTTTGTATTTCCTGACGCTCCCACTCCAATTCCTCAGCAAAACGCTGTTGCTTAATTTTCTCCAATTCCAAGAGCTCTCGCTCCAAGTCTAGCTGCTGCTGTTGTTTATCTTCCTCAGGGACCATTAAAAGAGCACTTTCATCTCCAACCACTTCAGAAAACACTTCAGATGCTGTGGTTAAAGTGGGAACTGAGTCTATTGTCTCAGCGGTCAGAGTTTCCATTGTAATAGTCTGCAAACTGGCATTGATATCAATGCCAGTTACTGTGATGTCTGTTTCAGATGCACCTGTTGTTAGGAAATATGATCTAGGCATTGGCTGGCTTTGATGGAGGGTGGATAACGAAGTCACTGCATCAGTGGTGTGTGCACCAGACAGATCCCTCACAGTAGTGCTGAAAATAGAGCCAGGTTGTGTGGTGATAGCAAATGTGGAGGGTACTGGAGTTGCCACTGAAGAATAGACAACACCATTAGTTGACCTGAACACGCTCCCCACACCATACTGGGATCCAGGAGGTGGAGTCATTCTTGCTGTGGAATACTGTGGGGTACTAATCCCAACTCCTGAAATGACTTGCCGTGTTTCTGGATATGAACCTGTTGTCTTGCTTGAATAATCCATTACCTCACCTGAAATACAGGGCAGAGTTATAGTCCAGTTCCCAGAAAGAATGAGTATTTTTTTTTTTGGTTTTGAAAGCCCTCTCTCACCTCGATGAACATAATGAATAGGACTGCATGCAAATCCACAGGTTAACTTAATCATATGCAGAGTAAAAGCAATGTTGGACATGCAGGCACATGCAGATGACTTTGCTCAGAACAAATTAAAAAAATAAAAAACAAAAAAACAAAAAAAAAGCACATGTGTACTCCAAGATGTGTTGTAAAAATATCCAAAGAAAGAGAAAAGGTAACAAAATTGGGAAAGCGAGCACATTTTCATCCTGAAATGAGATGAGGAACGCCGTAATATTTCAAGGAAAGGTCTGCTGCCCCATCATACTGACCTGTAGTAATTTTCCCTGAAGTTAGATCTACTGCTGCATCAGTTCCTCCAGAATAATCAAAGGCATTCTTACTTTTATAGAGAAAATGTCCAGCTTCTGCTAAATTAGTATCAGACATGGAAGGTTTCATTCCCCCAATCCCTCTATAACCATATGGCCCTGAGCGACCATATTGATAGTGGTCATCTCTATAACCAAAACGATCCTCAGGAAGAGTAGTTGCAGGCTGCTGGGATGTACAACTTCTCCCAAAAGGTAGCTTATAAACCACATCACAGCACACAGCTCTTCTTCCTGCGGTCAGGTCAACAGGTTTTTCATCATCTTCTATTATTTTGGTCACCACACCTGAAGTAGATTCATCCATCGTTACAACAGTTCTATGGGACTTTGTTGTACTAAGATCGACTACTTCCCCATCAGTGACCCCCTGGGATGTGGTGGTATCAGTCCAACCATTTGTGATACCAACAGGAGGCACAGTAACAGGTTTTGTAACAGCTGACATGCCTAAAGATAAATTTATTGGTGCTTCCTCTCTAACTGAGGGAAAAGCCTGACTGCTCGGTGTCCTATACGGAGGTTCGGCCTGAACTGAAGTTGTAAGCTGGAGAGGCGTTACTGTTGTATGTTCTACACCCACAAGGCTTTCTGTGCTTGTGGTGTAACTTGCACTAGGTGTGTATGTGACAAAGGTCACTGTCTCAGTAGCCATGGAGAGTGGAGTTGTAACTGATGAAGTTGTACTGAGATTGATAATAGTGGGCTGAACAGCACTAATATGTCGCCCATAGATTTCACTTGTTGTGGTCGGCCTCTTCACATCCACTGCAGAAGCAGAAAGATCCAAGCCTTTTTCTGTTACTTTAACTTCTAGTTTGGACACCGTCCGCAAATCAATGGCATCACTAACAAGAGGCAGCATTCCATTTTCTTTAGGTTGCTGTTTCTCTAGATGTTGACTCTCTTGAACAAAAGGCTCAGGTGGAATTGATATAGAGACACTGCTGAGACCAACACTGGGCACTACACCTCTGGCTGCCGTAACCTCAGCTTTGGAAGCTTCGGTTGTGATAAACTGTGGAAATGAAGTTGGGGTAGATTGAAATGAAGACATTGTTGTGACAGGAACAGCAGAAAATGTCTCCAAGGCTCTGTTCTGAAGGCTCTGTTCTGAAGCACTTAACATTTCTGTAGTTGGCACGGGAGGAATTACAGAAAACACTGACTCAATCGATATCAGGTCTTTGGGAGGTGATCCCAGGGGCCAACTGGTAATGGCCTGAGTAGCTGAAGAATCTGTCGGAGTCCCAGGTTCAGATGGTAATGTGATGACCACGTAAGTTTCCATGAGAGACTTGGAATATCTTGGTGAGGATTTGTTAGAATGGGGAGAGAGAGGGGATGTAGGGGAAGGCAATTTATAATCTGCTGTTGTCACCAAATTTAATGTCATATTTGAAGCCAAAGGCAAACCTGTTGGTTTGGGGTGTGTTTCTGTTGGTTTGGGATGTGTTTCTGTTGGTTTGGGGTGCATTTCTGTTGGTTTTTGAGTCATTACTGGAAGTGGAGGAACTACTGGTTTAGGGGCAATTGGAGGTTTACTTGGCTCCGGTCTATGTGTGAATACAAGTCCAGATGGAATTGAAGATGGCTTAGGAGGAACAGGAGGAGGTGCAGTGGTACATATTTTTGTTACAGGTGCTACAGGTAACCCGTTACTTTTTGGAACGGCTGTGGTCACTACAGTAGGAAAACCATCAACTCGAGGTGTAGCTGTAGTAGTAAGAGTCACTGGAGCAGTAACTGGTAACCTCTTTTTAGGAAGAATGGTTGGTTTAGGAGAGGTTGGTGGAGGAAGCGGTGGGGGAGGCGGAGGAGGAGGTGGAGGAGGAGGTGGAGGAGGGGGAGGAGGGGGAGGAGGAGGTTGGGCTGAAATATCCAAAGAAGAACTTCGAAAGAATGGACGAGTTTTAGTTGGAAGAGATGAAACAGAATGAGTGCCAGATGGTAACTGAGATGCAGGTTTTGCTTGACCAAAGATATCTCCAGATACATAGTGTGTACTTTGAACCTGCTCCTGCATGGGAAGATCTGTTATAGAAGAAGCAAGTTGGTCAAACACAGTTTCAGATAAGCTTAGTTTTGTTAGTTCATCTGCAGGCTCCTCCCTTTTATCTCTGTAGGCTTCCAAAACTTCCAGAATAATTCCACTCCCTGATTCTTTCTTGGATTTCTTTACTGGTTCTTTGTCAGTTATGGCTAGGCCAGTAGATACAGTGTCAACAAATAGTCCTTCAAGCTTAGTTCCAACCGAGTCTGTGATAGAAGGTGTCATATCAGATATGGAAACCATAATGTGATCAGCACTAATTCTACTATCTGCTCTGGAAGCCTTATCTAAAGGCATACTTATTTCTTCTGGATAGTCTATAATGCTGCCTTGGAAATATGTTTCTTCAGAATCTTCAAATTTAGTTACTATGTCCATTGGCTCTGTATAAACTGTGGTTATGCTATCTAGCGTAGTGATGGGTGAGGAGCTATCTGTGGTACAGACTGAAGAAATTGATGAGGTGAGAGAAGGTGTGTCAGAGGGTGGGACAGACGTAGCACTTTCTGAAGGCTCAGAGTAGGTCAAAATCAGTGACTCATGAGAAATTATCTCTTGAATTTCCCTCGTGTAATCAGTTATATATTCATCCTCAATTTCTTCTGTTGAAAAATGTTGGGTTATTTTCACATCTGGGATTGAGAGTGTTGCACTGCTAGTTGAATCTGTAAGAGATGCTCCGGAGAGAATACTTGATGTCATAGATGAATCAGGTATCCTGTCAAAGTCCATAATGGAATCTGTCACCTCATCCCTGGTGGGGGGCTGAGTGGGAATGGAACCCGATGATAACTGCATCTGTTGCCTTTTCATGAGTTCTTCATAGGCAGCATCAGCATCTAATAATTGCTTTTCTTCACCAGTAGAGGTTAGCATACTACCCAGGTCCACTATCTCATGACTTTCTGGAATAATATAAGAGCTTGAAACAATGTCTTCTTGAGGCACAATAGAATGTAAGCTTTCTAACTCATAGAATTCTTTCTGGAGGTCTGTAATTTTCTGCATAGGATCTTCATAAATCTGCTCTGTAAGTCCTACTTTTTGTTCTCTCCCTCTCTGCTGCAAAAACCCATTCTCATCTTCTTGCCTTGCTAGCAGACTGCCATCTACTGAACCATTGTATGTGTCCTCTACTAAAGATTCATAAATATAATCCTCTATCAACATGCCACCATACAAAGGTTCCTTTTCAAAGATTTCATCTCGCTCATTTGCAGCTGGAAAAGCTTTATATTTATGGGTCTTATGCATCATTTCTTCATACATCTCCTCAGCACTTTTTAATGTCTTTTGACCACCTTCTTTCTGCATAATAGACTGCTCATCTGTCGGTGAGTATAAAGACACAGCTGTAGGCAATTTATACACTTTTTGCACTTCTATTATTTTTTCTGGGCTTATTTCAAAACCGTCTGGGTCGGATTCTATGCTAGGTGAATATTCAGAACAAGAAGATCTATGCAGCTCCTCCATTTCTGCAGCCTGACGTAATTCTTCCGTTGGTGAAGCATCTTCAATAGGAGAGAGGTTACTGGGTGGTGTTTTCGGTCTTTCCCTTCTTCTCTGAGCTCTAAGTTCATCTTTGTCTTTCTTAGATTTTTTACTTGAACTCTTTCTTTGTTGCTGTTCTAATTCGCGTTGCTTTTCTTGTTCCTTCAATAATTCTTCCTCCTCTCTCAATTCTTCCTCTTCAGAAGAATCTTCAATAGTAGGTAAAAGAGGGCCATGTGATCTGTGCCGCGCTTTGCGCTGTTGTTTGCTCTCTCCTTTTTTGTGACTAGGGCTACTGTCACTGTCCTCATCAAGTGATGATACTGATGTAGGGGAGGTGCCAGGAGTGAAGCTAGAAGCATGAAGACTAGAAGATCCTTCCCCCCTTGACCTATCTTCTGGAGAGTCTGTCAAGCTTTCCATTTCTAATTCTGGCTCTTCATCAAAATACAAAGCTGATTTTTTCTGTGAGGACTCAGAAGAATATTTATCTGCTATTGTGCTGTTAAGTTCAATCGTTTTGAATCTACGGAGCCCTCCTACTCCAGTAAGCGCAAGCTCTTCACTCTCCTGACTCTTGGTTTCTCTGTATTTAAGTTCAGGGCTTTCATCAAAAGTCTCATCATCTTCATCATGCCAAGAATGGCGTCTCCCAGGATCCTCATCAAAGCTGGTACTACTTTTTCGGGTCAGTCTTCTGTGTTTCCCTGTTGATGCTTTTCCTTTTCCTTTTATTTCTTCCTTCTTCTGGCTCTCAATGCTACTACTGATCTCTTTCAGCTGGTTCCTAATGAACTCATCATCATCAGAACCTGAAACATCTTCATCAGCACTCATTTCTATGATCTGTTTTCGAATAAAGTCCTCCTCCTCCTCACCTGAGCCCTGACTATCTTCCTGTTTATACTCATCACTGCTTGAGGAACCAATGCTCAATCTCCGTTTTCTCTGAGGAACAGGTGAGTTTTCACTTTCACTACTGTCTTCAACTGAATCATAAGGCTGTCTTCTCACAGGTGTGTCCTCAACAAGTTCAGGTTTCTCTTTATGATCCTTTTTGGAAGGAACGTCTTGCTGGCTATCTTTTTTTAAAGAGTCTTTTTCTTCTTGACCCTTTTTGAGCTCCTCTTCCAATGTCACAGTTATTGGTGTTTCAGATAAACTCTGGGGTTTCTGCTGGTCCTTGGGCTCAGGAGAAACTTCAAGGGGTTGTGTTTTCTTTTCAGCTTTTTCATCAAGTGTACTTGCTTGAGCTTCCAAAATGGACAGGACAGTACTTTCTAATTTAGCCAAATCTGAGGGGCTTGAAGGGCTGCTTTCTTGTGAGAATGAGTCTTTTTTGAGTCCCTTGAGCAAATCCTTTTCATCACTGGGAATAAGACTTGGAATTTCTCCAAGAGACCCTGATATCCCATCAGAAGAATATCCAGTATCACTCAGACCTTGTGGGCTTTTCGGTTGCTGAGAACTTGAGGTGTCTGATTTGTCATCTTCCTTTTCCTAGCAGGAAGGAAAAGATACAGGAAAACTTAAAATGGTTAAACTAATAACATAACCTCTCCATTATTTCCCAGACCATTATGAACAAAGGAATAATCACAGGAATTTTTTCAACTATATGGCATATTTTTTTATATCTTTGAATGGGTACAAAAATAAAATAGTTGTTTCTTATCAATCTGGTTTAGTTTTCATTTAGCCTATGATTAATTATTAACTCAATATTTTACTTTATTCAATTACTATTTCAACCTTCACCTTTCAATAATTTGTCTTCAAAATAAAATTATTTTCAGTACATTAAAATTGTCCAAGAAAATTTTAATGCTAAGTATTTCATTAGCACAATTAATAATTTGGACTATGAAAGCAAACCAAGAAAGGAAGAGATTAATAAAGAATTAGAAGATGGGCTTTGTAATTTGCTCTAAGTCTTGTGTGATAATAGAAATTTACTAGTGGGTATAATAACATAGCCATAATGCTATCACCCTTCCTACTGCTAGTTAATGTTTTTAGAGCAAATTTCAAATAAGGTATTATCTGTAGTACTGTCGCACTGTCCTCCCGCTGTTCATTGATTTACTCGAGCAGACACCAGTAACATCTCCATTCTGAGACTTGTTGTTACTGTTTTGGCATATCAAATAAGCCATGGGGAGCTTGTCAGGCTCTGTTGTACAGGCGGGATACTCTCGGTAGCTTGCCAGGCTCTCCGAGAGGGATGGAGGAATCGGACCTTGGTCAGCCTCATGCAAGGCAAATGGCCTACCTGCTATGCTATAGCTCCAGATTGTTAAAGGTATTGTCTATTAAAGATATTTTGAAAAACACAAAACACTGTATTTTGCTTGTGACATATTATTCTGTTTCATTTTAGATGAATATATACAAATTGAAAAACTCTGAAAACGTCATACAATTATTGAAATGACTCATTGTTTATCTAAAGAGGACTATCCTGTTATTATTGTGGTGGAGTTGTTAATCACAATTATTTTCAGCATTCCACCTCAAAGATAATTGAGTGCCAGTTATGAAAGCCTTCTGAATTTGAAAATATATGGACATTTACCTTCATACTATTTCAGTCAGACCCTTTTAACTAGTAGAATAACTACTATGAATGGAAATAGGAGTTTTCCAGAAAGCTGACACACTTAATGACCTACTGATTTCCCTGGCCTATGATGAGGGCATACCAGAAATTTGGTTCAAGATTAAGGGGGTCCTTAAGTTAAAATAAACATAGGATGTTTCTGAGCTTGTGTGTTCATTGTATCTCTATTCATAATAGCCAAAATCTAGAAATAATATAAATGCTCCAAAATAGATGAGTGGATAAATAAATCCACACACTACATAATGTAATACTGTAAGATTACAAATTTACATAATGCAATATTACTCAACAATAAGAAAAGTAAAAACATGCAATTGCTGGTACATAGATGGTGGAATCCGAGGGTATCAATGGTGACTGAAGTCAATCAAGAGTGTGGGATACCTACAAAATGACTGCTCTAATATGTGGTATAGAAAGAAACATAGTAATGGGATTGGGATGACAGTACAGTGGGTAGGGCATTTGCCTTGCATATGGCCCTCCTGGGTTCAATCCCTGGCATCCCATGTGGTCCCCTGGGCACTGTCAGAGTAATTCCTGATTGCAGAGCCAGGAGTAACCCCTGAGAATTGCTGGGTGTAACCCCAAAAGCCAATATAAAAAACCTAAAAGATAAAGAAAAAGTTAAATAAAAGTAATAAACATAGTAAAATGGAGAAAGGAAATCAGATGGAGAAAGGCAAATGGAGAAAGGCAACAGAGTCTTTTCATTAGATTACAAAGTTTATCAAGGCAGGCTCTTGGAGGGGACATGGGATGAGACGCAGGGACACTAGTGGAGAAAAACTGATTATGGTGAGATGTGAAATCAAAAGATCAGCAAAAAGATCTGTATTGTGCTGTTTCAACCTGGGCTTAGGAGGGCACTTTGATGGCATTATGTATCTTATACTAACAATCTCATTATTTCCATTGGTTGTGTAGACAGGGGCTCTTTAAATCAATATAGAGCCCAGATGAATAGATATCAGATAGGACAGCAAACAACATACTTGAAAAATCCTTTCCCTTCCTATCTCTCCTCCCATCATTTTCCTTTCCCTTCTCTCCTTACTTTGTTCCTCTCCTTGCTTTACCTACAAAGTTTTCAAGTATTAAAATTCTTATTTTTTTTATTCAGTTTACATTAATTTTTACTTCACTATTCATTACCAATGATAAGAGACATGCTAGACATACAATATTTGGTGAAATGTTTTTGCAACTTTTGCAGCATGATTCAATTTACATAGAAAAACTGATAAATTCTTCACAATAAAAATATAAATGGCAACATCTACTTTCTGGTTTATCAAGAATGTCCTTAGCTGAATCATTTCTGGTGTGTTTCCAGGTAAGAATTAGCAAAACTGATGAGCATGCAACTAACTTTGATTCCCTTCTTTAGGATGTTAATCATTAAAAAGGTTAGCACAGGTGAAGTAACCTTCAAATACATATTTCTGGATGGCCACAATAGAGAAGTATTTCCATATATTCATATTCCAAAGAATGCTAGTGCACTTTTCTATAATCCCCCAAACATTTTCTGTGGTTTCCTTTGTCTGAACTCCTCTTTTTCACTAACTCGAAATTAGCACCATAACACATTAATTTCATATGTAAGGCCCCTACCTCCCAAAAAGTCAACAAAAACATATATCATAATCAAGCTTTGCAGGTTTTGATAATGTCATTTTTATTCTTTATCTTGTGCCTGCATATAAGATATAATTTAATAAAGTGTACATACATGGAGGAATGTAACTACTACTATGCATAGTGATTACTTAGTGTAAAAGAAATTTTACTTTAAAAGAAATTTTACTTTTACAATAAATTCTGAAGATTCTACTGACATTTTATCACATAAGATTAGAGTAAAACATATACAAAAGAAAATAAAGAGACAGTAGACAGAAAAACCAATGTACATAGACATCAAAATCTACCCTATGATTCCTCTAATATGGCCTTTCTCTGGGTCTTCATGCTCTCCTTTTCCCAAAAAGTGGATAGAAATATATTCTACACACTTACCCTCCTGTTATGTTCTTTCTCATCTCTTTCATACGAAGTTTAATCATACTTACCAGTGAGGATGCTGTTATAATTTTGTCCCATAAATGTCTCCATATTATGAGGTGACAAATTCTTGCCACAATTTTGGTACAGGCTTGAGGGCCTAAGATAAAATGTTTGGAATGGCTAATTGGGAAATAAGATTAAAGACTGGAAGGACTTTTGACTAAATTTACAGAACGAGCTGTTGGCTGGGTGTTTGTTTTATCATGATACATTGAAAAAATTAGAAAGTCCAATTTTCTAATACTAACATAGATATAAAGTCCCCTGACATAGGTTAGTGACCTTCTACTTCATACACTTACCTTTCTAACCACCAACTAGACCATATTCCAACTGGATCCTTTACCCATATCATTTGAGGTATTCACATACTAAATTTTAAATAGGTACTGCTGAAACTTTTTTTAAAATAAACTTTTCACAAATAAATAACGGTATACTAAGTTATTTTGAAGGTGATTCATTTATTCTTCCTGTGTTTGGTTATCTACTCTTCCCTGGGACACAGATGTTAGAGTGCAATTTAACTAGTTTGTTTACACATTGCCTTAACACTGAAATCCCTTGACTCATGAATTATGTTTCATAACCACTCAGAAAAATATAAACACAGTTGAATCTGAATTTATCTGAATATTGAATCCTCAAATGGATAGCTAAAATACTGTAATTCTAGAGAATATGATCAAAATATTCATCTGAGGGTGCATAGTATGGCTTATTTTTTCCCAATTTTATAAGTCCCGAATGACGACTAAAAGATTAAAAGTTCTTAGTTTCTTAAAATCTCTGTACTTGCATTCTTACTCCTTGAGAAGAATATTAGGCTATCCAGTAGCATATAAAGACAAAATTAAATGAGTAACATTTAAATTTAACATTTAAATGAGTAACATTTAAATTTGGTTAAATGGTTCCTTCTAAATTACATATAGTCTATATCGATAAGTAATTATACAAGTAGATGTGTATAAATATCATGACACTTTTTAAAATACATAGTCAGGGAGTGGAATTATCATTTCATTTTTATATACAATGATATTATTTAATTCTGACCTCTCAAATTACTCAAATAAAACATATATAAAATTCCAGAATCCACTATTTGTACAAAATAATGATTACAATTAGAAAGTACATTTTTCCAACAGCAAATAGTTTTTGAAATGAACAAAAAATATACAGGATTATGGGCATAATAAAAAATTCTTTGGTAACAGAATCAAAGCAAAAATAATTTTAACATGCTTAGATTGTAATATTCACTTTTTATTTCATTAATAGAATATTACATTGTGAGAAACTAAAAGAACTTTACCACAAAAGATAAGTCTTCAATACTGAATGATTTAGTCAATGTAATTATATGAAGGTACATATATATGTACATTTTTTACTAATGAGACCTAATGTTATATACTGAGTCCCTTACAATTTGATAAATATTATAAAAATGTTATACTGATGTATGTAATATCTAAAATTGTTTTAACCATAGAGGTTTATTGGTTAGTTCCTGAAAAATTAATTGAGATATTTATAAACAATTTAGTTGTAAAAATTGAATTCTTTTGTAACAAAAGCTCAAGAACCAAAGGTCAAATTTTGTGAGTACAAAGACTGTCAGTAAATTAATTATCAGATATTTAGAGGAGAATTAGCCCTGATTACTATTTTTTTTTTTTTGGTTTACAATACTATTTATTTTTTTCTCTTTTTAAATTTTTATAAGGTTTTCAATAATTTATTCATCCAATATTTTTTTTCCTGATTACTATTTTGGGAAAAAAAAAACACTGGCGGT